CATCCCACTGCAAATCCCAGGTTATGTCCCTTGTTTTGTGAAGCCAAAGCCTCTAAAGATGATGCTTCCTCCACCCAGAACCCCTTCAGTGACACACGTGATGTCGCGTCCACTGCTCCCTGATCCTCTGGCAGTCAGTAGAGGTTTCTTTTTTTCTAGAGAAGCTTTCCTTAAAACAAAAGTGTTCCTTTTAAAATGTAGTTTGACTGTATCTGTCTGGACACACCAACTGAATTTAAACATGTGTTTGCTTTCAGTGGCAGCAGTGCCTGGCCCTGCACAGCTCCTGCCCGTTTCACTGAGCTTTGACTCGTTTTTACAGCAGTTCCTCTGTGCTGGGGGTCAGTTCTGGGGCGAGAAGTGCTGGTGTCACATCTGCCATGGCAGCCAGAGCTGCTCTGCACATGCCACCAGCACAGAGCCAGGGCTGGGCGGTGAAGCCAAGGTGAACCCCAAATCCTCAGGCTGGTGCAGGACAGACACGCTGGGTTGGGTTTAGGAATAATTTTAGTTGTTGTGATTTTCAGGAAAACAACATTATTCTGTTTGGAATTGTGGGGGTTTGAGCAGCTTTATGTGAAATCCACAGGCAAGATGAAAGCCTGCTTTCCCCTTTATTAAATTTAAATGAAAGCTGCTTTTGAGAAAGGAAGGAAAATAAAATCAAAGGTTTTCTCACAAATATCAGATCAGCTATTTTCTGGTAAAAAGTGTTGAAAAGTTTTAGCGCCCCCTCCCCCAAGGAGACCCCCCCATGCCCAGGGTCCCTCCTCACCCTGAGCCCCACTTTGGCTGGGGCTCAACCCCAGTGCCCCAGGAGCTTCACCTGGGGCTTGCACTGCTGCATCTGCCCCCTGGGAACCTCCCAGGACCCCCAGGCACCAGCAGCAGGGGGTCTGCAGAGGGGTCCTGCAGAGGGTCTTGTAATGGGAGTTCTGCAAAGGGTCCTGAAATGGGAGTCCCACACAGGGCACCTGAAATAGGAATCCTGCAAAGGATGTCCTGCACTGGGGTCCCCACAATGGGTCCTGCAAAGGATCCCACATGGGGGACCTGTGATGGGGTTCCCACAAAGGATTCCTGCGAAGGGGCTGCTGTAGTGAGGATTCCTGCAAAGGGGTCCTGCAATACCTGTCCCACAATGGGGGTCCTGCGAAGGGGACAGCCAGGAACAAGCCCCAAACGTCCTCCTCACATGACCCCGGGTTTGTCAGGCAGCCCATGAGCCCTTGCAGGGAGCCAGGTGGGATAAGCTGCTGCTGGTACCAGCTGGGCTCTGGCACCTGCTGCAGTGCCTGTGCTTACCCTGATGGAGCTGAGATAAGAGGAAGCAGTGGCAGCAGGGAGGGCTTCTGCATCACTGGTGGGGGTTACTGCTTCTTGGGACAGCTGTGAGAGGTAAATTCCCCAAATCCTTTGTATTTTGGGTACCTGGGACTCCCTTCCCTGCCGGAATGGCTGAGTGAGGAGGTGAGTGCTGCTGGCCTCTGGGCTGGTGGGGGAGGCAGGGAATGGAGCCAGGTAGAAAACAGGGATCTTTAGTCACTAATGCCTCAGTGGAGGTTGTCAGGGGCAGCCAGGGCCATGGTTCCTCCCAGAGCTGCTCCCAGGGAACAGCTCCATGGGAGTGGGTGGTCCTTTAGCTCAGGGTACCCTGTTGGGGACCTGATGGGTCTCAGGTGTTGCAGGTAAACCTGTGGGTGCACAGGTGAGGCTTCCATGGACCGGATGTAATGGTTTTAGGCTGCTCAGTTTAGGATTTATCAGGGTCTCATCTCTGGAGCAGTAGTGCTGGCAGAGGGGCTGGATGGGACAGTGGCACAGGTGATGGGGCAGGTGGGTGAAACTGAGGGAAGTAAAACAGCAAAGGGAAGGGAAAAGTGTCCAGGGACAGACAACTCTTAGTCTGGTGGCTGGAGAATCTGGAATCCAGCAAGGAATGTGCTGGGGTAAGGAGCCTGTTGGGCAGACTCTGCTGCCAGAGGGACCTGGGTGAATATTTGGGGGGTTGATGATGCAGCAAGGGAGGAAAATAAACTAACGCAAGGAAGTGAAAGCCATGAAAAAACCCTAACTGACTGGGAGGTGAGTGAGGAGCTGGTAGAGGCTCTGAGGGGGGCAGCCAGAGTCAGGGAGGGCAGGGACTACAGATGTGCCAGGGCAGAACACGGCTCTTCCCAGATGTGTTGGGAAAGATGGGAGGAGAGAGGAGATTGCACTGAGACTAAACCTCACAGTGGGAGGAGACATGGTGAAAGAAACCCAAATTTCACAACCCCAAATGATCAGGGACAGCAGCCACTGCTGCTGGTCCAGGGAGCATCTGTCCTGTGGTGTCAGAGAGCGGAGAGCGGCGGCCAGGACAGGAGGACGAGGGGACTGAGAGCTCAGCACTCACCACTGGTGGAGGGGACTCTGGCAAGTGTATCTGTGTGACCCCCATGTGGGAAAGGGATGGATGGGCAAGGGTCTGCGTTGGGAAATGACCTGGAGGGACCTGAGCCTGGACCAAAGGGCTGGACTTGAAAACTAAAAGTTATTAAGCCTGGAGGAGGGTTTGGTTCCCAGTGGTGGCACTGGGCAGGGACCCCAAGTTCAGTGGGTGAAAGCCTGCAGGTCCAGCCCCAGGAAGGGTCTGGAGGTCTGGGCTGGGGAGGAAGAGGAGCTGGAGAAGTTGCTCACGTCACTGCTGGGGTCAGCACTGGGACAGGAGTCTGTGCAGTGTCCAGGAGCTCTGCATGCTCCAGCCCCAGGCATCGTCCTGCTTCACTGAACCGACTGTTCTAGGGGGACCGGCCATGGCAGGACAGGACTGTGCTCTGTCACAGCAGTGGACACAGCACTTCTCTTTTAGCAGCTTGAGCAAGGCTGGAAGTAGCTCCCTTGAAGCACAGAGGTGCCAGCAGTGCTCTGCACTATGGAGCCTTGAGGGTTTCCTGGGGGAGCTGAAGTATGTGACCCCACCTCACTTGCCAGTGTATTGGGAAACGGTGTTTCCAGCCGGCTCGGCAAGTCCCGAGGCATGAACAGGGAAGTGAGAGCGGGAAGTGAAACAGCTGCCTCTGCCCTGTTCCCGCTTCCCCGTGTGGTGTTTGTGCAGCTGCAGCTCTGGAGCGCTGTGGCCTCGAACAGCAGAGCTTCTATCCCGTGTCCCAGGGCTCCTGTGTCCAATGCAGACAAGTGCATGAGGTTTGTGCAGCACAAGGCTCTGGTTTTCCCGCTGAGAAGCAAAGCTCATCCCCTGTGGAAAGAATCCGCATTTACTTTCCCCTAAAAGCCCCTGGCTTGGGGTGGTAAGACCCCCTGGTACTGGTCTGTGGGACATGTGAGTGTGTCAGTCTTGCAGCTCCCTCATCTCGTGGTGCTCATTTTGGGGGACAAAGACCTGGCACTGTGCTGGGAGCCCAGTGTCCCTCTACCGTGCCGGGGGCATGGGGAGAGCAGCTGGGACCCCTCTCCCATCTCCCTTCTCCCCTGCCTGCAATGGGCAGTGCAGGTCCCCCATGGAGCCCCACGGGAAAGGGGGTCCCGTCTGGCGGGGTGGGGCCCCGGGGCTGTACTGTGCATGCCGGCTCTCCCTGGCTGCTCCCTCTTCTTCCTCCCACCCCTCCTCTTCTTCCTGCCACCGCCCTCCCCCCCTCCTTGCTTTGTTTCGCTGCCTCCGCCCTCATCCTCCCCCCCCTCCTCTTCCTCTCCATCTCCTCCCTGCAGCCCGAAGCCGCCCCTCCCCTCCATTCCTGCCCCCCGCCCCTGATCCCTGCCCGCTGTCTCTCCAGGGTGCCCGGGCAGACAGAGGTGCTTGGCTGAGACCTTCCTCCCACCTCCCCCCAGTATCCCCCTGGCAGCTCAGGCCTGGGCAGGGTCCTCTCATGGGGTGTGTCTGACCCTGGGCCGAGAGTCACTGGTGCTATGCCCAGTGCCGGTGCCATGGTGGCCCAGAAGACAAGAGGGGACTGAGGAGGGACCCCATACCCTGGGTGTCCATGGGCAGCAGACCCCCGCCGTTGGCGTCGCTCCCTTTCTCTGTCTCTTCCTGTTCTCTCCCTGGTTTTTCTCCTTCCTCATCATCATCCCATCCCCTTCCCCATCCCATCCCCTTCCCCATCCCATCCTGTGCGCTGTGGCTGCTGTTCAGGTGGGCATCTCCCAGGGCCATGAAGGGACTGACAGGAGCAGACAGCTGCTTGCAGTGGAGAGGCTGATGTCCCTGGCCACACTCCGTGTCCCTGCAGCTGACCTGGCTGTGGGGATGATATCTGGGCACAGCAGGGTTTCCCCACTCCAGAGCTGTTCATCCCAGGATTCCCTCACGCCGGGCAGGTCCTCCTGGGACTGCGACAGGATCTGGCTCAGAGTTTTATCCCTGTTTTACCTCCCCCACAGAATTTCTCTTTGTTGTAGCTGCAGAAATAATTGTATTTAGGAGAATGCTCTTCAGTGGGAGGAAGCAGCAGCTCTCCAGGCACAACCCTGCCTGTCCTTGCTGACTGCTGAGGGGGGTCGGGGGACCCTGTGGGCCCTGTGCTGCCCACCATGCTGTGGTGGTGCTGGCACCCCTGGGGTGAGTGTGCCAGGCACCAGTGCTGAGCCCAGCGAGCCTCTTGCCTGCTGCTGGGCGGGCTGACCATGTCCTGGTGGTCCCAGTGGGTCTGGGCTCCATCCCTCATGCTTACTGTGCTGCTGCTGCTCCTGCTCACTTCTGCCAGAGCACAGAGCCCCACTCAGCTGTGATTGGTCCCCAGATTGTGTGGGCACCTGTCCCTGGGAGTCACTGCAAGGAGCTTGAGGGCGTGCAAGGAGCCAGACCCCAGCCTCGGTGACTGATAGCCTGGCCAGAGAGGACATGTGGTGCTGGGCACCCGCACTGGCATCACCCACTTTGGTCTGGGGTTCACTGGGGATGGTGCTAAGGAAAGCGGTGATGGCTGGAATGAACCCCTCACAGCACAGTGTCTGTGTGTGGGGTGCTGGGGCTCACGGCCGTGTCTCTCCCTCCCCAGCCATGACGGCGTAGGCCAGTGGCGAGAGATGAATCGGTTCAGCGAGTGCGGGACGCAGACAGATGCAGTGGTGGTGCTGTCCCTGGCACAGGCTGCAGTCCTGGGCCTGGTGTCCGATAATGAACTGCTTGGGGCCACCATCACCCCCACCGGCTTCTTCCCGGGGCTGGCCGGGGAGCTGCCGGACAACACCGCAGCAGAGCCTGGGGAGCCCGAGGGCGAGGAGCAGGTGCCCGGGGATGGGCAGGATGAGGACACCCTGGAAGCAGAGTTCTCCCTGGAGAAGCACGCCCGGAGGAGGAAGCGGCCACCCGTGAGGCTGGTGCCCAAGGTCAAGAGTGAGAAGGCAGAGGTGGAGGCAGAAACGTCGTACGACACGTCTGTCCCTGGGGACGAGGAAGGCGAGAGGCAGCGAGGCCACCCACCCCAGCCCCCAGAGCCCAGCCAGGAGCCAGCAGTCCATAGCGGTGCCATGAAGATGATTGACCTGGGCACCTTCAGCAGGAAGCCCCGGCGCCTGCGGCACCTGCGGCGGCACCGGGAGCTGGAGGGCACCGAGCGGCGCCGCGGGGGCAGCGACCCAGACGGGGGCCCCGCGGGGGCCCTGCGGACCACAGGCACGTTCGAGGCGGGCGCCCCGTCCCCTGGTGAGGTGGAGGCCCCCGTGCCGGGGGACCCCGAGCAGGTGAAGAGCGAGCAGGGCTGTGGCTGGCAGGAGCCAGGGGAGCTGGAGGCAGAGGTGGCCGGTGGCACCAGCGAGCGCAGCAGGAAGGCGCAGCTGGACCGGCTGGACATCAACGTGCAGATCGACGACTCCTACCTGGTGGAGGCCGGGGACCGCCAGAAGCGCTGGCAGTGCCGCATGTGCGAGAAGTCCTACACCTCCAAGTACAACCTGGTGACCCACATCCTGGGCCACAATGGCATCAAGCCCCACTCCTGCCCACACTGCAACAAGCTGTTCAAGCAGCCCAGCCACCTGCAGACCCACCTGCTGACCCACCAGGGCACGCGGCCCCACAAGTGCGGGGTGTGCAGCAAAGCTTTCACCCAGACCAGCCACCTGAAGCGGCACATGCTGCTGCACACTGACATCAAGCCCTACAGCTGCCGCTTCTGTGGCCGTGGCTTTGCCTACCCCAGCGAGCTGAAGGCGCACGAGGTGAAGCACGAGAGTGGGCGCTGCCACGTGTGCGTGGAGTGCGGGCTGGACTTCTCCACGCTCACCCAGCTGAAGCGGCACCTGGCCACACACCAGGGCCCCACGCTCTACCAGTGCCTGGAGTGCAGCAAATCCTTCCACTACCGCAGCCAGCTGCAGAACCACATGCTGAAGCACCAGAACGTCCGGCCCTTTGTCTGCACAGAGTGTGGGATGGAGTTCAGCCAGATCCACCACCTCAAGCAGCACTCGCTCACGCACAAGGTAGGACCTGGGGATCCCCAGGGGTGCTGCCCTTGTCGTGCTCCAGATGCGGGTGCTGGGGGAGAGGGGTGTCCCAGTGTCCCGCAGCCCTGGCCAGGCCTGGGAGGAGATGGGTGGTGAGTGGGCAGTGGCACCTGTGGCTGGTGTTGCTGGGGTCCCTGGGACCCAGCCTCTGTCCTTCTGTGTATTCCCATCCTTGGGGAGGGAGTTTCAGATCTACTGCAGGGTGACCCGGGGGGACCCTGGCCAGGAGTTGCCACAGGCCCTCTGGGTGGGCTGTAAGTGGGGATTTGCCCTTTTCCAGGGATTCTTTCATGGGGCTGAGCCACAGACCAGAGCTGGGACAGAGCCTGTCCAGCCCCCACCCACAGCCCCCGCATGCTGCTGGGCTCAGGCTGGGCCATGCTCTCAGCACAAGGAGCCCATCCCTCACCCGTGGTGTCCCCGCTCCATTCCCGGCACTGCCCATGTGCCCCCGGCACCTGGGGGTCTTGTCAAGCCCCTGTCCACAGCTCTCCCACCCCTGGCAGGGTGTGAAGGAGTTCAAGTGCGAGGTGTGCGGGCGGGAGTTCACGCTCCAGGCCAACATGAAGCGGCACATGCTGATCCACACCAGTGTCCGCCCCTACCAGTGCCACATCTGCTTCAAGACCTTTGTGCAGAAGCAGACGCTCAAGACCCACATGATCGTGCACTCGCCTGTGAAGCCGTTCAAGTGCAAGGTACCGGCGGGACTGGGGGGCTGGCAGAGCCAGGGAGGGGGAGAATGGTCCTTTTGTGCAGTGCCCCTGGGAATCTGGCCAGGCTGAGCTGTTGGGCACTGGAAGCAGATTTGTGATGCCTCCCCTGCTTGCTTCGGCATGGAATATCTGCTCCAAGCTGTGGTGGGAGCAGTGCTGCTGATGGAAGGACAACCACTGCCTCTCTCTGATCAGTGTTGGATGCTCTGGAGCTCCCATCGCCAGAACTGCATCCCCAAGCCCCCCACACAGAGGGGGAGGAGGGCATGTGGCAGGAGCCACAAGGGACCCCAGGGGGGCAGCAGCCCCTTTACTCTTGGAGGGAGCCATGGGGAACCTTTGGGGCAAGGTCTGCTCTGCAGAGCCCTTGGCAGCTCTGGGGGTGCCCCCCCGTGCTGGGGAGCCCCGGCTGACCATGGGCATGCTGCTGGCAGGTCTGTGGGAAGTCCTTCAACCGCATGTACAACCTGCTGGGGCACATGCACCTGCACGCTGGCAGCAAGCCCTTCAAGTGTCCCTACTGCTCCAGCAAGTTCAACCTGAAGGGCAACCTCAGCCGGCACATGAAGGTCAAGCATGGGGTGATGGACATCAGCCTGGACAGCCAAGGTGGGTCCCCAGTGCGGACTGGGCACTGTGGCTGCCCCCAGCAGTGCCAGTGGCTCCGGGAGCTGGGCTGTGTCGTGGCAGCTGTGGCAAGTTCATGTCTCCTCACCCAAGGGCTGCCCCCACGAGTGGCCTGGATTGAGCAGGGCTAGGGCTCCCAGGGAGCTTTGGGCTCCAAACCCAGGGAGGGGGGAGCTGCTGGCCCAGCCCTCCCCACAGGTCTGTCACCGCGTGTCCCTGTGCTGACTCCTAGATGCCATGATGGAGCTGGCCGGGCCCGACCACGCTGAGCTGGATGGGCAGCAGGAGATGGACGACTTTGAGGAGGAGAACTCTTACAGCTACGGGGCAGTGGGCAACCCCCCGGACGAGCACGCGCTGGCCGAGCAGGCCATGAAGGAGATGGCGTACTACAACATGTTGTAGCCGGGGCTGGCAGGGCTGTGGGGGCTTGGCAGGGTGAGAGGGGCTGCGGCATCCAGCCAGACCCCCTAGAACTGGAGGTGGTGCTCCTGCTGGGGTTGGAGAACACAGGGATGTCCAGAAGCCTTTGCCGGACCTGCCGTGGCTCTGCTGCTGCCCCCCTGCCCGCGCCCCGCGCCCGGTGACTTGAAACTGCGGGCAGGGGAGGCACAACCCAGAAAATCACTGAATGGGTAAGGGTGGAAGGGGCCACAGTGGGGCAAGATGATGAGCATCACTAACTATTCTACCTCCTGGGTCCCCCCTCGGGTGCGCTGGAGCTCCCCCCGGGCTCCCCAGGGGGCAGAAGCCCCTGTCTGCGGGAGGAGGTGGGTGTGCCCTCCTGCTCGCCCTGGGGCTCCCTGTGCCAGGCTCTGGGGCACAGAACAGAGTATTTTCATAGAAGCTCAGGGCGCAGTCAGTGCCCACAGCTCGGGGTCCAAAGCTGCAGCCAGCGGCATATCCAGGGGAGGCAAACCCAGCCCAGCCCCAGCAAATGATGGTATTTTGAAAGTAATTTATTTTTTTCAGATGTGCCGCGTGGTTGGATTTATCTTTTCACCGAGTTCAGTTCCCTTCAACCAATGTGCTTTGTAAACCCGTGTAAGCTGTGTGGTCTGTGCCGGGAGCCGGGGGTCTGCAGGGGCCTGAGAACAAACTGGCACCCCCTCCTTGCCCCTCAGCTGCTCTAGGGTTCAGGAAAAGGTTCTCACTTGGCCAGAGGTGGGGGTTTGTCTCCTCCATGCCCAGGGATTAGGGAGGAAGCAGCTGGGGCAATGCTGGGTCCAGGACTGCTATCTGGGCTCCACACCCTCCCTGCTGCGTGGGATTGGGGTTGGCAGCACCCCCATCATTTCCCCCAAGTGTGCCCAGAGCTGGAGAGGGTCCTGGTAGACATCAGGACCTGGGGTCCAGCCAGAGCACAGGGTTTGGGACCCCTGTGCTGACCCCCCACCCACTTTGTGCCCTTGGCTGTGCTCCCTGGGGCTGGGCACCATGTGCCCCATCCCCAGAAGCCCTGGGCTGGCTCTGGAGGTGGCCTCACTCAGCCTCCCCACAAGGCAGTGTGCCTACCACCCTTGCCATTCCCCTCCTCCCCTGCAACATCATCCAGCCTGGGGGCAGGATGGAGATGGCCACAGCCTTGGCCAGCCCAGACCTCTCCTCAGCATGGCAGGGCTGTGCCCCTAGCCAGTGTGGACCCCCACACGCTACCTCAGGCCAGTGCCAAAATGCTGGGCACACGGCCTTCCAGGCTGGCAAGGCTGAGCTGAGGGGTCTGGTACTCCCTGTGCCCCCCATGCCCACACTGCAGAGCTGTGCTACTATGATGTGCCATGGCTGGGGAGGTGTTTAATGGCACCACAGAGTTATGGAATACATGAATCAGTTCAGGACAGACCCCCCCCCCCCCCCAGCCCTACAACTCCTGCTACAAAGGCTTTAAAAACACTCATAAGAAAACTGCTTATAAAAATGATTCATCTGTTCCTGAGGAGTGTCAGGGAGCTGGGGGTGGCACTGGGCCCCTCCCTGCTCTATCCATCCTGGGAACAGCAGGGGCCCCCTGCCCCCTACTTCTTGCCCAGGGCCTTGTCCAAGTTGTTCTTGATGGCGTCGAGGAAGTCTGTGGTGTTCACAAAGTGCTCATTCAGCTTCACACTGTGGGGACAGAGAGGGGTTGGGGAGGGGATCCCTGCCCACCTTCCCCTCACAGGCAGCACGGCCCTGAGTTGTGAGATGTGACCCTTGTCCAACCCCACCAGCTGTGAATAGACACCCCAAGTCCCCAGGGACTTTCCAGAGCCCAGCAGCTGGCTGTGGCCACTGTGCAGGGCCAGCCTGCCCTTGTGGCTGCCCTGCGGGGACAGCCCGCCCTTGTGGTCACCCATGCAGCCACGTTGCCCTGGTGCAGACGGCTGCCTCCCCCCTGCTCCACCCCCAGAGTCACCCATACTTGGCGAGGCCATGGATGCAGCCGGCGAGATCCTTCGTCATCGTTCCGCCCTCCACGGTGTCCACACAGACCTTCTCCAGCGTCTGTGCAAACCTGGGGGTGGCAGCGCCGCAGCTCCAGCACAGCCAGCACCAGACCCTGCCACAGCTGTGCCTGGGGCAGCTGCTGGCAGGGACCCTCACCCCAGGGACCCCCACCCCACCCTGCTCACTTGATGAGGTCGGGGTTACTGTCCAGCTTGCCCCGGTGCTCCAGGCCACGCGTCCAGGCGAAGATGCTGGCAATGGGGTTGGTGCTGGTGGGTCGTCCCTGTGTGGAGAGAGCGGTCAGTTGTCTGGTGTGGCCACCACACTGTGGGCCTGGCACAGGCAGGTCCTGCCGGCACAGCACACCCACCTTCTGGTGCTCCCGGTAGTGGCGGGTGACAGTGCCATGGGCAGCCTCAGCCTCGATGGTCTTCCCATCCGGACACACCAGGACAGAGGTCATCAACCCCAGGGAGCCAAACCCTACAGCAAGACAGGGGTCAGGGCGGCTCTGTGAGGGTGAGCACACATAGCCCACCCCACCTGTCCTCTCCTACTGCCCCACCTTGGGCCAGGATGTCTGACTGGACATCCCCGTCGTAGTTCTTGCAGGCCCAGACGAAGCCGCCAGAGGATTTCAGCATCTGGGCGACCATGTCGTCAATGAGCCGGTGCTCGTACCAGATCTTCAGCTTGTCAAACTCAGTCTTGTAGTGCCTGGGAGCCCAGGCTGGGGGTCAGCTGTGTCCACCCCAGGTGGGTCCTGCTGCCAGCCCCTCCTGGGCAACCCCCCACAGCAGCCCAAGCCCCCCCAGGTCCATACTTATCAAAGATCTCCTGGAAGATGTCCTTGAAGCGCCCGTCATAGGCCTTGAGGATGGTGTTCTTGGTGCTCAGGTAGAGTGGCCACTTCTTCTGGATGGCGTACTGGAAGCAGCTGTGCGCGAAGCCCGAGATGGACTGCATGGGAAGTGCACAGACCCCCTGGGACCCTGACCCCCCGCCCGGCAGCTTCCCCAGGGTGGCAGGGCACGCTGCCCCGCAGGGACCCCTCCAGCCCCACCGGTACCTCATCCGTGTTGTACATGCCCATGCCCACGCCGCCTCCGGGGAAGTTGAACACCTCCCACTCCTTGGCCCCACTGCCATCCTTCGGCGTGAAGACCATCTTGAACGTCCCAGACTTGCTCACCACAAAGTCAGTGGCTTTGTACTGTGGGGGGCCAGGCGGAGCGTCAGGCAGTGGCCACAGGAGCTGCTGGACATCCCCACGCCGCCAGCCCCTGCAGCAGGCTCACCTGGTCGCCGTGGGCATGGCGGCCGATGGTGATGGGCTTGGTCCAGCCGGGCACCAGGCGGGGGATGTTCTTGCAGATGATGGGCTCTCGGAACACCGTCCCCCCCAGGATGTTTCGAATGGTGCCATTTGGGCTCTTCCACATCTTCTTCAGCTTGAACTCTGTGGGACATGCAGAGGTGAGACCCTCAAGGACTCCCAGAAGAACCCAGCCCCTGCCAGCCCCCACTCCACCGTGCTGTGGGCTGACTAGGTGCTGGGCTGGCCAAGGGGTGGGACAGCCAGCGCAGAACTGTGACTGGCATGGGGCAGTTTGTCCCCCAGCCCCATGCCCGTGGGGTCCCCACAGCACCCACAAGCCCCCCAGGATGGGGAGGGAGGCACAGCGCTGAGCATGGTGCATCCCCCAGCCCACCGGAAACCTGAGCTGGCACGGGGAGGCACTGCTGACCCCGAGGGGCTGCACACAGACAGGGGGCTCAGCACTCCATGGAGCTGCCAGCACCCCACACTGCAGTGGGAGCTCGGCCCCTCACCCCTGCCCACCTTCCACCCTGGCTTCGTCGGGCGTAATGGTGGCACACTTGACAGCCACACTGTACTTCTGGGTGGCCAGTGCCGAGTCAATGGTGACTTGGTCGTCCGTCTTGTCCCGGTGTGGCAGTCCCAGGTCGAAGTACTTCAGCTGGACATCCACGTTGGGCAGGATGAGCTGGGGGGCCGGGAGAGCATCAGAGCAGGGCGACAATGTGGGGTGCCTGGGGAGCAGCACCCTTGCACAGCCAGTCCCAGCACCCACCCCAGCACAGCCTGGCTGCCTGCCAGGGACCATCCCCCCCGGCCAGGATGATCCCCTCTGCCTGGGATGGGCCTCCTTGCGTGGGATGGGCCTCCCCGCCCAGAACAGTCCCGCCTCCCTGGGACCCTCTCACTTCCAGGCCTTCCGGAGGCTGCGCTGATTTTACCACCTGCTTCCTGCGGACAGAGGGACGAGGTGGGAGGGACAGACACAGACCAGCACAGGTACCGCCTGTTCCCCATACAACCTCCTCAGCTTCACTTGTGGCACACCCACCCATTCCCAGGGCAGGACCCCGTCACCTTCTCCTTGATGAAGGCCCAGATGATCCTTGTCATCTCGTCCCCGTCCATCTCCACCACTGGGTTGGCCACCTTAATCCGCTTGTCAGCATCTGGGGAGCAGCTGGAGGGTGTTAGGGGTGCACCCCTGGCCCCACAGCTCCTCACCCTGGTGTGTGGCCAGGGCATCCTGTGGGGACCACACAGCCCCATCCAGCCAGGTGCGGGTGCCACCCCAGCTCAGGAACAGCTACAGGTGGGGGGCAAACCCTGCTGGGGTCTGGGCCAGTTCGTGGGTCCAACACTACTGTGGCGGGGGTCAGGGTGCAAAATGCCCCACGGCAGTGAGACAGGGACAGGTGCACATCCCTCTTGGGGTGGGACCCATGCGCAAGCTGGGCTGCAACGCCCCAGTAAGACTGAGACCAGAACCAGGACCAGGTGCAACCCCCCTGGAGCCAGGCCCAGGCACAAAACAGGGTACAAATCCCTGCCTGGCTCCTGGACCAGGACTAAATACCTCTGGGTGCCAAACTTGGCTGCGGGTCGGGCTGTAAAACCTCACGTGGGACCCAGACCAGAGGTGACCCCCCCCCACCTGGGCGGGACCTGAGCGCTGACGGGCTACAAAACTCTACGTGGAGCTGGAAGCGGCAGTTGGAGCGGGAGTAGGAGCGGGAGTGAACCTTCCAGGGGGGCAAATCGGGCGGCAAAACCCCGTGTGGGCCTGGGAGCAGGAACGGAACCCCAAGGCTCCGACCGGGTACAAGCGGAGGTGCAAAACGCGGCATGGAACATGGACCAAATCCCCCTGGGACCAAACTCCCCCGTGACCAAACTCATCTGTAAAATCCCTCGTGGAACCGGGACCAAACCCCCTGGGACCAGACCCAGCTACAAAACCCGGCGTGGGTCCGCAGAGCCCCCCGGGACTGTCAGCAAGCGTGGATCCGGATCCAACTCCAGACATCGCCCCGCAAAAGAATCCGACTCGCCTCCCCGTGGGTCTGGAGCACACCCCCCTCGTGGCGTGCGCAGCCCCAAGGACACGAGGCTCTCCCCCCACCCCCGGGCCCCCCACTCACAGTGCCGGCGCTGCCCCGCGCAGGCGGCGGGGAGCGGGCAGCGGGACAGGCGGCTCAGCGCGGGGGCGGCGCGGAGGTAGCGGGCGGCCATGGCGACAGGGCGGACACGGGGGCGCGGTTCTCTCCGCCCCGGGGCGGGACAGAGTCCCGGCCCCCG